ACGTGACATGTTGCGGTTGAATTTCAGCGACTAGTTTTTCTGTTGCCCTGTCCCCCGTTTGCTGTCGCGTTCAGACTGTCTCTACGGATATCCCTGTCTCTGTGCGAGTTTGTTTATGTCCTCGTCTGTCTTTGGTTTATTTCGTTTTTGTTTTGTTTTTTACTGGCACGTACTGTTGACCCTTGGGGTCCTTCCGGAAGGCTACCCCCCAGGCTGGTGGTGCGCACGTTCCACTATTTATTTATTTGTTTGTTTCTGATTCTTTTGTTTTCTTGTATTTTATCGCTCTGCTAACCCTTGGGGTCCATTTTATTTTGGTATACCTTTTCTAGGTACGTTAGCCTGTGACCACGGGAATTGACCGAGTCAAGTGCTGGATTAGTACGGAGAGATTGAGACAGAAGGAGGTACTGGATAGAGAGACCGGGATGGTTTTTAATGTGAAGACAACAACAACAACAACATAGCCCGGGCACCGGCCCTATTCAACCGGCTCTAAACAGCCCCCCCAATCTAGCACAAAGACCGCAAAACTCGTTCGACTTCTCCAACATTCGCTCGCTCACTTCTTCTCGGGACCCCGGCCCCCTGTCTGTTGGAGCTCCCCTTTCCCAGAAGCATGTTGGCGGCGTTTGAAGTGGTTCCAGCGGCACTCGGAGTCACGAACGCTGCTGATGCGGGCAGTGGCTCCCTCTCCGAGGAACGCTCCATGCCCTCCAAGAAACGAGCAACCCTTTTCCCCGTCAGCGGTGGATGGGACGCCCCCTTATTGTGTATAGCCGCAGGATGGAGGGATGTGCGTCACTCTCGCATGGTTACGCCTCGATCGCGGGACACACGACCTAACCTGATGTAGACTACTTCGGTTGTAAATTCCTCCGTTTTTCCAGATTCGTAGGGCGAGAATTTCCCCGAGTCGTTGTCACACGGATCGAAAGAAGGAAGTGGACCAGTATTCGGCTGAAAATGAGAGGAGAAGATTGCGCCTATCGACACAATCTGGCTCGTAGTACGAAGACAAATAAATTGGGTTCAATACGAACAACGCCTGATGTAAGTGTCAAATTGGTTTCCTGCAGTTTTCTTGGAGAGCGCGAGGGCACGTATTACACAATAGTTGTTCGGCGGTGTTCATCTCTTCGGGTCGCTTCAGCTACGGCAACCGTAGGTATGCGATCAACTGACAATTTTTACGGAGGACAGCAGGGTTGGTGCTCACAGTCACCTGAGGATCGAGGGCTCTCCGCGTGAGATGGCAGGTCCTCAGGGAGTGGTCGAGTTGATCTACCGTGATCCATTCCATCCCCGAACCGCCCGCACCGTCGCCTAATAGCCACCCATCACGACGCATCACGACGCGCAGTTGCGAAATTCACGCCGACCGTGCGAAAAAATTGAAAAAGAACGTTATTGTTGCCTGGCCTGATTCGCAAAGGTGACATTGCACCGCAAGAGAAATGACCGCCAGGACAAACTTGTGCTCGATGTGTCAAGGACGACGACATTGCCCGGGGGTTGACGCTGCGCTAGAAGCGAGATTTCATGTTGATCTTCTCTAGCTAGGACCCTTTTGTTTCGGTCGCCGTCATTTGGGAGGCCCCCCACCCTAGGTAGCCACTGATATCTGTCTGATACACGCGGGTCGTCTTCGATATTCGCTCACTCTACAACACCAATCAACTGCCAAAGAGATCGCCTCCGAAGTCGTTGTACTCACCTCGTTCGCTGCCCCGCACACACGCGCACAGAGCACTCTTAAACTCCCTGTATGACGCCACTTCTCCCAAAACGCGATTTATTTCCACATGTATCCGCTTGGTACTACACCGTCTAGCAGTAGAAACCCCTTTGCCGTTGTCGTTGTTGAAATTGGACGCGGCGGCACCAAGTGATCCCCCTGCCCCGGCTTTGACCACACCGGCTCGAGTGAATAGCCCGTCCGCGCTTCGCCGGGGGGGTATCGTTGCATGGGCAAAGGCGCAGGATGAATGAAGAATGAGGCAACGTACAAGCGAAGTTGTGGGTGGGTGCCGAAGTACCGCGACATATCGGCACCGCTTGGATCATTTTCCGGTAACCTTCGGGTTTGCGCAGAGGAAGGATTCGGTTGAGGGCTGCAGTGTCGTGGCCACGAGATTGGCATTCGCCTTTTGCGCGAGGGTACCCAAAACTTCGGTCTTTTGTCAGACTGGATTTGGATAGGGATTTGGCCATAGTACCGAACTCCCTCGTATATTTCGTTCAATGTGAATTGATGGAATGATTCATCCGACTATGTCAGCACGGGCCAGAGATACCGGGCACCAACAAGTAAAATGGTGAATGGGGGAGGCGAGAGGCCAACAAGGCTAGCATCGAAATGAATGGAACGTCACCTGACGCCAGCCATCCTCAATCGAGATGACACCGATACTAAGGCGTTTAGTGCTTCGGCAGTGTCTTCTAACGACAGGACGGCGTCGTCCAGCTGCCTGATGACCGCCCCCTGCGTCAATAGTTGTGCGTGAACATGTAAACACAACGCGTGCCATCCCAGAAGTCTGCAGCGTCATCAAACAGCTCCTGTACAAGCTCGATCGATTGCCTGGGTTGAGCAGCACCCTATCGATGAAATAAAAGCTCGCCAAACGATGTGCTGGCATCGCACGCGCCTGCGTCGCCATTCAAAAAAGTGAAGCTGGTCAGAGATTTTCATTTTTCGAGCCGTCTGCACATGGCTCGAACTCACCTGTCGTCTCAATAGAGCTCCGACCAGAACGGCAGGGTCCTTGGCTCTCAGCAACGGAGAGCCCGTCTCCCTCAGCTTTCGTCTCATCTCCAACAGACAGGCCTCATGCTTCTGTGACCACTGCGGGTGGTGCGTGCCTGGAGGTTGCCATTCGTTCCGTCAGCACGTGGGTGGTCGGTTTGAGCGCAGTTGGAAGAAGAGCGAACGGCAGTTAGTTTCAGTGCCCGGCAAACTCAGAAATATCTTCGCCTGTTTTCCCACGCCACGTCCTTCGGTGGTTGTCCTCGATGAATGAAAATACTCTATCGGGGCTGAGATGTTCTGGGTCACGCGTGTCCGAACATGTCAGGTGCGTCAAGTTCTCAGGCGCAGTGCTCACACACACTTGATACATGTAGCGCCCAGACCGCCAACAAACGTCTAGTAGTGGAGTGCGACCCGTCGTGCGTGCATCCTCTTGCTTCACTTTATGGAGCTGACACTCGTCGGGCCAAATTGCGCCGGCCGCCCCAAGGGCGACATCGAAGGGAAAGAGAAATTCTCAAAGGACTTGACATAGAACAATTCAGTGATACGAGACAACTGTGTGATAGATGGACAGATTGCTCACGCGCAGCTTCAAGCGATGTATCCGTCGCGCGCTTGTGACAGAATGGTGGGAGAAAGGATGGTGGCATCGAAAAGACAGCCACAAAGACGAACAGGCGAGAAACCAACAGCCTTGCGCTGCACGGTTCATCACACACAAGCAAGACATGTCATACTTTGGCCCGACACTTATTGTCACGGGGTGCTGGCAGGCAAAGGAACACAGAGCTATCGCTGGCTACTAGATAAACGCGTATGCCACGTTCTCACCACCGTATTCTCTGCCCTCTGATGAAAATCCTCCGTTGGGTGACAACAAGGACGAAGGCGATGGTTGGGTCGACGACATGGTGTCTCTCACGACTCGCCTGAGCCGCTCCACGTCTTCTTTCGGGCGCTTGGGCTTGTTCGAGCCACCAGTCGCCGATGGCTGCGATCGTGTTGGAGACCTGGGTAGCCGAGGGGGCGACCACGGGTGGCCGTGGTTCTGTTGCTTCTGTTGTCGCTGTTGCGCGGGGGAGGAAGGACATGAAAGCGGGCGGCGTCGACGCTCATGCAGATTCTCAATAGCCGTGACGGTCACGTCCAGACTTCGTTCTAACCCTCGTTCTCCGGTATTCCCACACCCGTCGCCGCCAGGCCTCGTTACCCTGCCGTTGCACACGATGGGCTGTGTGATCCTATCGACGATGGCCTGGACCCCCAGGTCTTTCGCCAGCGCCAGCGACTCGACGCCCACTACTGAACAGACCGCCGGAGGCTCAAACGCTGCCGTGGGCGCGCAAATTGTATCGGCGGTGCCTCCTCCTCCTCCTCCTCCTCCTCCTCCTCCTCCTCCTCC